CATGAAGATTAAGTGTACGTCTAAGAACTGGGCTCATTATAGCAGATCGAGTTTAAGAAAAGGTAAACAAGACCGTCAGTACGCCCACTATTTCTGAAATTACTGTGGTTATTATTAACAGTATAATTACTCACACCAGATGTATTGGACAGTTTGTAATTACTTGAGGGATTTATTATTTACAAGGTTATATTTTTTATCCAAGGTGAAAATGGGATTTTTCAGCATAGAAAATAAAGATATAAAGGATGCATAGAATTGTTTTTACTAATGTATGGATGCATTTAACATGATAACAAACCAGTGCCTTTTTCATGTGGTCTATATTTGTCACTGGTATATTGAGCTTACAGAAAAACACTTTTCTGTGCTGAAATGTGCTTTGTAAAATTGTTTTGTATTAATCAAAAATGAGCAGAACTGATTATAAAAGATTTGACTTTGGGATTTAGTTATAAAAGACTTAACATACTGTAGACCAAACTGATCAGGTTTGTAGTTATGTATGACGTTGATAGAACCAACAAAATGGCAAGAATTATGGGTCTCAGCTCATGTAGTTAGGGATGTCTTAAGAAAATGGAGTTGCTCTAGAATAAATTCAGAATATGTACATTTTTTCCCGTTCTTCAGTTCTTCAGATCTTGTTTTGACGGGGGATCTTTGCCATAATAACAAAGCCGTTTGCTTAGCTTATGGATATAATGCAATATACAATGTAGGGATGTTATTGAATAATATAGTAATGTTATAGGCTTTCTATTTTTCTCTTGTTCTTGAAGCTCTAGTAAACTATATGCTGTTCTTACTCAAAACACTTTTTATTTAATTTTTCACCAAGTAAAGCACTTATACCTAATACTTGTAGATGTTATTGAAAGCATGTACACGTTATGAGAAAGTGAATTTGTGCATGTAGATATTGCATTTAATTGAATGTATATTGTAGTATAGGCTAATTGTGAAATGCTCAGGTGCATATCCAAGGTTATTGTTATTATAAATGTTAAGGCATTTTATAATCATTATAGAATCATCATCATTATTGTTATTATTATTATTTTCTATTTATAATGATGATTATTATTATTGTTGTTTTTGTCATTATCATTATGCTATTTTATCATCATTATCAGTTTATGGTGGAAACCTTTTTAGCAGGAAATGAATGCCTTTATAAGTTTATTTTGACATACTCTTTTTTGCCTCATTGTTTATACATGCCACTTACTTGACCCATAAAGGATAATTTACAGTAATTTTGAGTTCTGAGTCCTGGCTTTTTTTCAGTCATGATCTTTTTTTTTGTTTTTTAGTTGATTACATGATTCTCTGTCAGAGGACTGCCAACCATTCGACATGCCATCCACCTGAAATGTTTTGCTGAAGATAATTTGCTGGTTCCCCCACAGATTCTAGTCAATATAGTGGTGAAGGAGGGTCAAGTAGTAAAAGAGCAAGGATACAACAAACGTTACAACAGCAGCAACAGCAACAACAACAGCAGCAGCAACAACAGCAGCAGCAGCAGCAACAGCAGCAACAACAACAGCAGCAACAACAGCAGCAGCAGCAACAACAGCAGCAAGAACAGCAGTCGATGATAGAAGAGTTAGCACCTTCTCCATGCTCAGACATATCAGGCACTTCCCATACCTCGAGGGTGTCACATGGCTCCATGCAGCAGGTACATCATATTAGATACTGATCCTAAGGAAAGAATGTGATTAACCAAGAAGAAAATCATGTCATACATAACTCAAGTTAATAATTTTTCTCTCCCTGTATAAAGCAGGTGAAAGTACAACAGCCTCTGTAAAACGGCTTGTGATATGTATGTGCAAGTATATCTGAATAGTTAGCTTCATTATCAATGTTCAAATTACAGGAAACCAACTTACATTTTGCATCGAAGTCCAACAATAAGGAAAGGTACTACCGCAAGATAGAGCTGCCTCCTGAATTGTCGCGATCGCTGTCTTCCTCGCGCCTTTCGGGCTCCTACGAAGAGGAGAAAAAGGAAGACCAGTTCATGCAGATGATGGTTGCATCTCCCACCGGCAGTGCCAGTTCTCACAACTCAGGTGAGGGGCTGAGAATGGAATGTTTTGCGGTATTAAATGATTGTGTTCGAAGGAGTGAGAGAAGAGTAAGTGCAAGAGTGAGTGTCAAAGTATGAGTGACATTTAGAATATGAGTGAGAGTGGAGGTTTTGAAGGAGGCTGAGGAAGAGAGAGAAGGAGAACGATAGGTGAATAGGAGGAATTGTTTAAGGGAAGGGGGCAGAGGGATGAAGGAGAAGAGAAACAGGAGGTGAGGATGAGTGAAGGGGAGGGAGAAAGTTAGGATATGAAGAATTGGCCTTGTGAATATAATGGTTGAGGAAAGTGTCCTACATAGTGTTTCAATATTGTTTTGCAATATTAGCTCATAGGGTCAGGATGGCATGACAAACATGCCATGTTCACTTTCATTTGTGTTTGTTAATTGTGTTTATACGTAGATGGCTCTTTGAGTGCTTAGTCACTGATGTCAGTTGCCAGACCTAACTTTATCACTTTTTTTTTTTAGAAGTAGTATTCTAATAATAAAATAATCATAATGTCAGTGAGAGTAATAACAGTATCAAGATCAGTAACAATAGAAAAAATATTTTTCCTGAAAATTCAAGAATGGGGGAAATCAGGTGAGGTCTTATAGGGCCTATTAATTGGCTCCTTGTTAGCTGAGCACTTGTAGAGCCATTTGTGTATGAGGAAGAAAATGCATTGGACAGTACATGTATTCAAGGCCAATAGATTAGTTTTTTTTCTCTCTCTCTCTCCTTCATTAAAAACATAACCTGTTTTTAGATATTTATATATTTGTTAAAAACAATTATTTATCACTCTGAGGTAGTTCCCAACATATGATTGGTAACCTTTCTCTCACTCTGTTGTTGCAATAACATTAGGGTCAACTTCAGGAGTGCGAGGGGGCAGAGGGTCCACAAGCAGCATTATGGGGGCAGGATCAGCCTCAAGTAGTCGGCAGCCGTTGCAGCAACAGCAACAGCAACCGCAGCAACAGCAACCACAACAGCCTCAGCAGCAGCAAGGTATGTTCATCATGGTTAGGTCCCCATTTTTTGGTATTTTATGGTACAGCAGATCATGGAAACCATAATCTCAGGTACCATTTCCTTCACCTTCAGCAGCAACACATCTTTAGAAATACGGAAACGTTCCTAAATTACTCTTCTTTTTTTTTCTAGGTGGAGGTTACAGCAACATAGATCTGCAGTACCTGAGTAATAGTGGTGTAACCCAAAATCCAGCAACGCCGGCAGTCAGTGGAACTGCAACTCAGGTAGTCCAGGTGGCGACTGTGCCCTTCTCTCCCGTCATTCCCATTAACCCCATGGTAACCAACCTCTCCGTCCAGCTGCCTTCTGCACCAACCACTGAGGTTAGTTGACATGCTAGGTTGCATTTGACGATCATGTTTGATGTTGTGTGGGTTATCATTATCATCATCTCTGTTATTATAGTATCATCGTCATTGTTGATGTTAGTGTTATTATTATAAAGGGCTGCTAATAGTTTTCAGGTGGTGAATTTTCACTTCTTAAAACATAGGTTTTTGGTTAAATCTGTATGTGTTCAAGGGTCTTATGAAGATTAATCTAGTAAGCATTTTTCTTTGGAGGTTGAGGATATATGAAAGTAGTATCAGTCCATTGTTGTTGGGTACAGGCACTGTTTATTATATTGTTTTGTGAATTTTGTTTGCACATCGATCACCTAGGAAGCAGTTCATAGGCCTGACCTCACTTGTGAATATCAAATCTCTTTTTATTATTATTATTATTATTATTATTATTATTATTACTACTATTATTACTGTTATTATTATTATTATTATTATTATTATTATTATTATTATTATTTGGTAACTAGGCATTTCTAGAACCATCTCTAATAAACAAAACCAATAAACAGAAGTCAGTGTGGACAAGGCATGTATAAACGCCCATTGCAGCTTCAGCAGATTAATAGAATTTGTTTGTATATTGGATATGATTTTGCATCAAGTCTTCAGCCACATTGTAGAGACAACTTTTTTTTTAGTACTTTCTCACCAGGAACTTCTTGCTTATGGATATTTTGATGGTAATAGTAATTGTAAGTAACTAAATAGTAAATGGCTTTCTTAATCAATTTTTATGATGGTCACGTATCACTTCACTTAATTTTTGAATTGCAATGTCGATCAGTAGCTTTGTAAGTATTCCCTGAAGAGTCCTTTCTAGTTGATGTCATTTAACAGTATGTAATATTGAGTAAAATAGTTTGCACTATTCTAAACTAGTTTTTGGAAGAAAGCTTAGACAATTCTTTTAAAATTATCTATGCCTCTGCCCATGGGGGAATGGGGTACTACTTCTTTGCAAAAATATTATCTTGTATCTGTGTTTTGTTTGTGTTTTTGGTCAGTCATCATGGCATTTTGGAGAATAGTTTTTTTTTTTTTTAACAAGTGTTAAGCAGACCATTTTATGATATCGAATGGACTGAGAAAATCCAAAATATTATTTGGTCAGTGACTGGGATGACCGTTAACCCTTTTTATGTTTGTTTCTGCAGGGTCTTCGCCAGTCATTGATATTAAGTCCTGATCAGAGACAACTACAGGAACAGCTCCGGAGAAAACATGCGGAGCTTCAGCAACAGATTTTGAGACAGCAAGAGGAACTGCGGCAAGTTAATGACCAACTCATAATGGCACAATATGGCATGAGCTTACAAAATATATATAAGGTGAGTTAGGCTCTTGTTTGTTACCATGTGAGAGAGGAATATTTATATGTTGATAGGTTGTTCTTGCATGGGAAGGTGTTTCCATGTTTATGAATTAAATTTTTCAATAGAATATGTTTAGGAATACAATGGATATCAATGTATAGATTTCTAGTTCATTTTAACCCCTATGATCTGGATGTCATGACTTTCATTCCATGAAAAGATTTGGCTCGAAGGGAAAATTTGGCTTTGGGTCGGGGTGATGCAAACTTGCTGTCGTTAGCTTTGTGCTTTTGCATTATTTCCATCAATAAAGGAGTATTTACTGTCCAGAGAGGTTGTAATTTCCATGCTCAGGATCCTATTCCTGGCCATGAGCAGTGGTGCAGGTTATATTAAAAAAAAAAAAAAAAAAAAAAAAAAAAAAAAAAAAAAAAAAAAAAAAATGTTACTTATTGTTATTATTCTTGAGTTATCAACTACCTAGAGAGATGATATGGAGTCTGTGCAAGGAAAACAGTCTGTTACTATCAGAGTAAAGTATATCAAATGACAGATATGGAGATTGGAAAATGGCAAAAGAATTAAAAATAATATTGCAAAGCTGAGGCATAGAGACTTGTCACACAAGTGCGCCTGGCCTACAATCCGCGCACCCATCAAAGTGGCTGATCAAGTAAACCTAATGCCTGTATTTTGGGCCAAGTGATGGTATTAACATCCAGATCCAGTGGGTTAAAAACGTAAGATACAAAGTCATATGTTGATAAGGCTATTCAGGTCCAAGGTGGAATCACCAGAATTTGTTATTTGAGTTGATTTTTCACTTGTGGTTTTCATTTGGTTTAATTTAAATATTTGAAGAAAGTGTTGTGAAGGATAAAGGTTGGTTCCTTGTCAGTGGTAAATTGTATGAGATTTTAAATTGATATCTATACATTTTAGACATGCACACTAGTTATTTATGTAATCGATTTCAATTTGTTTATATATGCCTCTGTATGTGTGTGGAAAAAATATGAAACGGAAACCTTTCACCTACTAAACATTTGTTGATTTTTAAACAGGGTGGAGTGCAGTATACCCCTGCGAACTCAGTAGGCAACAATGGAAGTTTCCAGAGCAGTGTGGCCGTGGGCTCAGGTGTGGGCAGTGTGATAGGCATGGGGACAGGTAGTCTTCCAGTGTCCACGGCACTGCATCCTGGTGGCACTGTAACTCTGGCGACAGGCACTTTAGCGGGGACTTTAGCCACCCAGTCATTTGTAACCATGAGTACGCCCTCCTCTTTACAATCACCTACAAATACTGTTTCCACAATTAACCCTGCACAAGTATGTGTTTACTGTTTGTCTTATTACTTATATGTAAAATATATGGATGATATTTTATGTTGACAATTAAAAAAGAAAATTGATGTAGATCATATTAAAAAAAAGAAATATATATATATTCTTTTCGACAGAAGCACCCAGAACAAAATATAAACAATTGAGAAACATCTACTAATGTAAGTACCTTGGCTTCCAGGTGAGTGTGCAGGGCATTGGTACAGGGATGGCGGTGCCCTACCAGTTGTCCCAACAACAGGCTCAAATGCTGTTTGCTCAACCTGGTGGTACTGGCCAGCCTCACCAACAATCACCACAGCACCAACCCAAGAAGTGAAAACACGGTGATTTTTGCTCACCGCCAGACTCGCAGCAGCGCCAGTCCCGAGAGGCAGAGGCTAAGGTTCTCCTGCCGGGTGCTGTGATGTCTGCACCTCACTTCTCTGTCCTTCTGCCACTTAGTGACACCAGCCTGAAGACGAGGGGATCAAGGCCTGCCACAGCCCTGAGTCAACACTGGCTGCCAAAGGGCTTCCTGCTCCCGGCGACTCGTCTCTTCCCCCGTTCACACGCGATCTACCAAAGAGTGCACGAATGGTTGCCCTTGTTAGGAAGGAGAAGAGAGGAAAGAAAAGCCAGAAACGTTTGCCTAATAAGCCTAAATTTCGAATATGTGGAAGTCCTGAAACGCTTCCTCTAGCCAGTCAGACAGAAATAGGGACATTGTTCAATTCAGTCAGTTACATTTGTGAATTTAATCTTTGAGAAGTGGTCTCCATTGAAACTCTTTGACAATCATTATGAATTCAACTTTGTCTTGTTTTGATATATGATTTTATAGTCTAGGTAACTATCACAAGCTTTAAGGAGAGAGAGAATAGGGATGATAATTATGTGAAGTATTTATGATATTTCTCCTGAAAGTTTGTAATAGGAAATAACCTGATTAAAACTATTCATAAAGCAAAAAATCGTTAAAAGTAAGAATCTTTTCTTATTGATCAATTCTTCCTTTTTTACTTCAAGTATTTCACATGTTTCTTAGAATGAATTAGTAGCTGAAGTATCCTTACAAATTTCTCATTTTCTGTAAAAAAAAAAATTATTCCTTTCTTTATTGATACATTGAAAAGTACCTGCTAGTGTATTATCTCATGTAAATATACATATTTATTATTGAGATAGAAGTAATATATACATGATACATGTAACTGATTTTCATGTCTTCACGTCTTTTTCTCTTTTGTAAATGTTATTTCCTGCCCTCTACTGTAACTGACTGATTGACTGATGTATTTAATGAGGGATGTCTCCTTTTTCTCTTTATATACACAGTAGTGAAAAAAGGATATATGTATAGTAAATGGATGGACTGTTATCATCATAGACCTTGAAAAATTTATGAACTATGATCTCAACATCTGGATATAAAAAAAAAGAAGAAGAAAAACTCGTACAAGGCACAGTGACTGGACCAGACATCATGGTGTTCTGAATCCACAGCATTGGTTCTGAAGTTCCAGAAGCAACGACAATCGCCAGGGTCCGTTCATAGACACGCGTGTGATACAAGGGGATGGGGGGTGTTTGTCATGGAGGGACTGGAGTCTCATGGGAAGTGTGTTCCCTTGTGCCACATTACTTGCTCAGTTTTATAATCACAATCAAAACTCATGAAACTTAGCCAAATAAGGATGCAAAAACAATCTTAGTGCTGAGCTTACCTATTGATAGTATAACTGTGTATCCTTAATAACATGCAAATTGTAAATACAGAAGAGGACGAATTTATGTACAAGTGTAAAGATAATTATATATATATATTTTTGTCATGCCTTATAAGGTATTGTTTTGAGATGTGATAGATGTATTATGACTATTGGTATATATGATATAGGAGCAGTTGGAAAAAATGCTGCCAATTTTTACGAACATAGTATCTATGTTCGTGCGCCAGCCAGGATGTTATATTGGCTAGAGCAGTATATGAACACATGGACAATAGAAATTATTTATTTGATAAGAGGGTACGTAGCTTATCGTATGTGAGTTTCAAAGAGAGAAATATTGTACAAGGCTATAGATTCTGTCCCACCCTCTCACATCCAGCAGGAAAATGAAAATAAAATGGACCTTATTCTTTCTGTCGTTTGTGTGCAGCTATGAGTTCTTTTATTTAATCTTTATTGGTTATTATTATTATTATTATCATTGAGAGAAAAAATATTTGGTTTATAATTTCTATCCATAGGGACAGTAACATTTGCCTAAGTTCTGTGTTATGATCACTGTTATGTTTTAGTTGTTGTTGGCAATTTTATGAGTTTGATGTAGCTGCTTATCTTTTATTTTTTTCTATTATTATTATTGCTTATTATTATAACTACTGTTTCAACTATTAATACCATTATCACCACCATCATCATTTCTATTATTGTATTTTTATTCTTATCATCATCATCATCATCATCACCATCCTTATTGTCATTATTATTAATATGTTGATGATTCATCATTATAGTCAGCATACCATTATCATCATTATCATTAAACTTTTAATCAATATCATCATAATTATAGTCATCATTGTCATCATCATCATCATCATCATCTTCATCTTCATCTTCATCTTCATCATCATCTTCTTCTTCTTCTTAGGGAATATAAATTTACTGAAACATAGATGACATTTGTGCAATGGAAATTGAGACATTTGATTGACATTAATTCCATTCAGGATAAGAGTAAACAAAACTTCCTGCAGTAACTATAGCATAATGTTTATAGGAAAAATTATAAGATTAGTGTTTTTATTATTAGTATTGGTGGTGTTATTATCATTCTTATCATCATTATTGTAATTATCATTAGTGTAATTGCAATTATTATTATTGATTTTATCAGTGATTATTGTTATTGCCATCTTTATTTTTAAAAATATGTTTGTTCTTATTTATTATATTCCGTAGTTTTCATTTATTATCATTATTGTGATAGTTCTGCTATAAACTTTCCCTAAAAATGTAATATCTCAAACTCAATTACAAAGCCAAGGACACAGGCAACTATCCATCTCTCTTGAATGAAGCAAATTTACAAATTTACAGGCCCTTTAAAGTTGGGTAGATGTTTACTTAGAGATTTTTAAAGGGATTGGCAAAAAGGAAATCATATATGGTGACTTAGTAGGTTTTTTTTTTTTTTGTTTGTTTGTTTGTTTGTTTAATAATAGTCATTGATTTCGTTGTATGTTTGTTAGTTGGTTAACTTTATACGGGTTCTTGGATTTAACGTAGTTTTTATTTGATTTAATTTTTTTTTTTCCGTAAATATTTTATGGCATCTTATTTTCCGTTTTCATTATCTTTCCATTCCTTATTGTTTTTTCTCACTTGCGTCTTTTTTCTCATTCCTTAGTCTTTTTTTTCCTTTCTTTCTTCAGCTCTTGTTCTTGCATATTTTCCTCTTTTTTTTTTCTTATTTTCTTAAAAACTTTCTGGAATGTGTCACTTTTCTGTTGAGAGTTTCCCAAGTCAGAATGCAGCTAACTTTGTATTTTATTTTTGTAAGTAAGTCTGTCAGGGGGAATATTGTATTTTTTACTTAATGGTATTTCAGGAAGGAAACTGAATTAGGCAAAAGATGCTGAAAAAAATGATTTGGATGGAATTTGTGTCTTATTGTGACTTATCATGGTTCAGTTTGGTCCTTTTGTGTAGGTATGACACGTTCAGGAATTTTTTTGCTCTGGAGGTGAAAATGTTCACAGATACTCAAAAAGAGTAATCCTTTGGAGAAGTGTTTTTCATTTGTAAGTTTGTTATTCTAGGGCTTGTCAGATTTTTTTTTTTATGTACACACACACACACACACACACACACACACACACACACACACACACACACACACACACACACACACACACACACACACACACACACACACACACACACACATGTATACATACATACATACATACATACATACATACATACATACATACATATGCACATACAAACTCACTCACTCACTCACTCTGTATATCTTTATATAAACATATTGTGATGTACATCCACATGTTTATGAAATACTTTAGAAAAAATTGTGTATCTACAGGTGTGCATATCTGCAATGGTTTAATCATACCATGCTAAATACTTACCAAAAATAAATCTAATTGACTTTCTTATGTGCCACCATTATAGTTTTTTTTTAATGTATATACTTCTGATAGTTATAGGAAATTATTTTGTAACTGGAAATATTTGTAATATTTCACTGACAATGCTGATGAAAGAATAAGGTTTATTCTACGTATGTACATTTTTTTGTATTCTGCCACTATGGCTCTTTTTATTTTTATTTGTATTAAACAGAAAATTTATTGTGTAATTTATCTATGTGTATTCATGTATGAAAACATGCATTTACCCATATACAGACATACAAAAACAGAACACAACAGCACATATGCAGCAACCACACATGGGGCAGTACACAAACAGAAAACAGTGTAGAGTGCAGTAACAATAAACATAATGGAAAAACTTGCCTCAAACAATATAGCAGAGTTCACAAGTTCTCTGTCTGCATTCATACCTACAGGAAGAGTGGTAATGGAGGGGTAAATTAATGCTGTATGGAATGTCCAAATAAACGGTAAATAGGAGGAGAAACAGGTAGGCAAGAGTATTTGCTTGAATCAGAGCATGTGGATTGCCAGGTTAAGATGATTTCAGGCAATATAATGCGTCCATATATTTTGGTCATATATTTTTAAAAAGCAAAGTTAAGAGGAAGGAAAAAAAACTCAGTGCCATGCCATGCCTGGAATTTACATTTGCATTGTTAGTATGCATAATTAAATAACTTGAGAATTACATTTGTTAATAACTGTGTAAGACTACAGGATTATTTGAAGCAATTCAGATGTGCTGAAGTCACCTCAAATCCACATACTTATAAGCTGTACTATTGCTTGATACTGCCTGTTCAGATTTTTTTTTTTTTTATAAACACTGCCACTAAACTTTACAGTGTGATAACCAATCTATAAGTAATTTTGATAATCCATTTATTGTAGTAATGGTTAAATCCTGCACTCATGCCTTCCTCAGATGCTCAAGGAGTATTTGAGACTTTTTATATAAGATTATTTTGGCCTTTGGAAAAAACTGATGGTTGATGAAGTGTCATCATTTTATTTTCATTTCCCTGAGGGTGATATTTTCAAGATGTGAAGAAGATAAGAATGCGAAGGCAATCACAAATTCTTGTTGAAGCCAAACCTATTTTAAGATATTTATAACCTGTGATCTATGTAGCTATATGCCTTTGTTTCATCAAATATATAAATTTCACCAAATGACATGCGTTCATATGGTAGCTTGTTACATACCAACTCAGTGCAATGGGTTTTTAACAGAAACGGATTTTATAGTGTATATTGAAATTGGCATTAGCTTTGAAACCAGTCATTCAGGAAAATAATTCAATTTAGAATATAAAAAAAAAAACATTTCTTTTTATATCTGATTAATATATATATGTGTCAAGATCATGTGGTGCAAAATATAAAAAATAAACAAAAAACATTTTTGTTCCACAAAATTTTCTTCAGGCATCAGGGAGGGATTAGTCTTAAAATATAAATTGGTTTTATTAATATGGAATAAAAATAAGCTACTGAACTTTGAAGACGAAGAAGAGAAGACAAAAGCCTACATAACGAGCCCATTTACACTTGCATATTGAGGCTCAGTATTACTAGAAGACTCACAAATATGACGATATGATCCACAGTACCTGGAACTCAAGCTGAGTATTGTAAATATATAAATTTCCCACTGATTCTTGGTGTTTTATTTCCTTTGAGATACAGAACATGAGTTGAATAATGATGAAAATATCGATAGATGATAATATTGATAATGACGACAAGACAACAACTACTGCTGATGATGGTAATGATAAATATTTTTTTAATAAAAAGTGTATGGATTATATCACTGAACAAAAATATACAAATATGTATTTTCAACCAATAATAATTTTACTCTATTAAATGAAAATTATAAGGAAGCAAGTAAATAACTCCTTCATATATATATACAGTTCCACAGATACAGTACAAGTATCTAACAATAAAAAAAAATTCAGTTATACCAGTGATAAATAAGAAAAATGGCACCATTTTTGTATAGCCTAATGAATCCAATTATATACGACTTTTCCAGAAGTTTCCCAGATGCTGACAGTTTGTGGTATGAAACCCGTCAATATTCCTTCCTGTTAATCTGTACGTGATATATTTCCTGCCCCCCCCCCCTCCCCAATCCCTTGCTTCTTGTTATTGTAGGGGGCTTAGACTGAGGCCCAAGGTAGGGGATCATACCTGCTCTTGTCCCCAGCCCTCGCCTCGACTAATTTTTCTTGGTCTTTTTTCCTCCTCCTTTCCTTTTCTTTTTCTTCCCCCCCAATCCCTTGCCCGTTGTTGTCGTGGGGGGGGCTTAGGAGGCGGAGACTGGGACCCAATGATGGGGAACTCTCCAACCTTGGGACTCAGCCCTCGACTCGACTAATTGTGCATGGTCTTTTTTTCCCTTCCCACTTTTGTTTCTGTCCCTTCACCAAACCCTTCTGCTATCCACCTCCTAAGGTGTGAGAGCCGTGCTGAAAGGATGAAAGGCTGACTTTGTGCCAGTCCTGAACGGCCTGAGGGAGCCATGGGCACGGTATTCCCCTGATTTAGTATCTAGCCCTTACCCCTCAAGGGGACTCTGAGGGGTGGTCTGTTTTTATCCCCAACATAACCAGGCTTCCCATGGCCAGTAATGAAAATATATCCCCACTGTTAGGGGCAATGAGGCTTGCCCCTTTATCAAATAGCCCCAAAGAATTAAACCACCCGATTCCCTGACCCCAGGCTCTCCTTTGACCACGGCTCCAAACACTGCAATAACTGCCCCTTCACCAATGCCTACTAGTACAGTAGCCAACAATCAACCCTCAAGGAACATTTCCACTCTCCCAGCATGCCCAACTTCAACACCTCTACCCCCACAACCTCCAACATCAACCACCCCATCCTCCCTTATTAATACCTTACAGCCTTATAGCCCACATCTCCATAACACTACCTCCATCAACACTACTCCATCTTCGTCACGCCCTCGCCCTTCTACCACCCCTATCTCTAAAACAATCTTGAATACTCTCTTCAGTGCAGCCAAATGGGACCGATTTTTCGTGATCCCTCCCACAGCTCCCTACTCTGACAACACCCTTCTCTTCCAACAATGCCTCCAAAAACAAGTAGGTAAAGTCTCTTTCCGTAGCCGACCCGACCGCTCCCGTCTTGTAACAGTAACATCCGAAAACCAAGCCATTGCATTAACAAAACTAACTGACCTATATGGTAACCCCATCCTAGCAGAACCGCATCCAACCCTCAATACTTGCACCGGAACAGTCTCAATCTCACCAGCAAATTGCCCAATCTATGACAAAGATTGGTCAGATTGTGGAGAAGATCTACTTGCCTGTCTCACAGACTACGATGCAACATCAGTACAATGCTACTCCATCCCCCCCAGAGGTCATCGAAAGAAACCCACTAACATAGCCAAAATTACCTTCCGTAGACATGACCTTCCCTTTAACGTCTACATAGGAGGAGAAACCCTCCCTGTTCGTCCATACCAACCTCCTCCACGTCAGTGCCAAAATTGTCGGCGTCTAGGACACCCAGCCAAACACTGCCGTTCCACAGCCAGATGCCCATTATGTGCCCAACCTGGCCATACCCGATCTAACTGCTCTGCACAATCACGCACATGTGCCAACTGTGGCGGCCCCCATAATGTATTTTATAGGGGATGTCCCACCTACAAATTTGAATCTGAGGTAGCAACTCTCAGATTCAAACTCGGACTCACACTGCGTGAAGCCAGACAGGAAGCACGTCGACGTGGATTCTCTCTTACTCCTTACTCCAGTAATACTGCTCATTCTAACACTTCTCCTAAACCCACCCCTCCTACATCTAACCCCCCACTAACCCCACCTACCTTCCCCAGTCAAACTCTTTTGCCATCCTAAATCCAGAAACTCCAATCTCTACTACATACTCCAATCACCACTACAACCCCAACACCTTCCCCTCTCCCTCCTCGCACTCCCCGTAACAGACAAAACAAACGTTCCACCCCCTCTTCCCCTACCACACAATCATCTCCACCATCCTTTGCCCCTACTCTTGAGACACCAGTCCTCTCTTCTCCCCCTCACAAGAAATCCTTTATCCCCCAAAACTCTCTTGAGACACCAGCGTTCTCTTCCCCCCCTCACAAGAAATCCTTTATCCCACAAAACTCCCCAACCAACTCCATTGAAGAAACTCTTGAAAATATCCAAGACTTCTTAATGAAAACTGACCCCCATCAACCTTCAAATCCTACAACTCCTGCTTCCTCCACACCCAAGTGACTGCCGATATCCATCCTCCTCCTAACGATATCCCCCCTACACCCTATCCTCCTACCCCCTCCCAACACAACCCATCCCCCCCCAACTCCAACCCCACCCACATTAACCCTCCCACCATCCCCTCTATCCCTTCCACTCCCTCCTGGATACACACATGAATCCCTTATATCACAAGCATCCCTTTCCACACCCGTCTAACACACCCCTATCTGATGTCGCAATCCGATCCACCCCTATGCTCTTTATGTAATGTTCCTCTTTCAGTCTCACACATTCTATTATCATGCACACGTTTTGAAGCAGCCTGTAGCTCTGCTTCCCCCCCCCCCCCCCTACCTATCCTCCCTTCGACAACCTGTTTTCCTCTCAAACACATAAATATCCCTCACTTAATCTAACCC